GGTAAGTACAAAGCAAGGGTAGTATATGTTTCATTTCTTCCATGTCCCGCAGTGCAATATACCCCAAGACACTGATATTTAGGGTACTATGGTGCACTGAAGTGACTGAGGAGGTAACGAGCATTCTTGACAGTGCCCCTTTCAAAGTGTTGCCTACACAAAATTCTAACTTGTTTTACTCATGAGCACCTGGCACTGTCCATTAGATTCTGGAAATGTAGCCATAGCCATTCCATAATTATTGACATTGCAAAGTTCTTACTAGTGACCTATTTTGTCTTGCCATGGTATGTCAATGTACAGTTTTCTGACTTTCTGTGGTGTATTGTAATATGCAGGGACTGATTTACTAAAGAATATGTGTGTGCATCAGCACACCAATTGTTCACAGACATCTAAATCATATCCTTACAATATTGATTATGTGCCAGTGACATGTGTGGATACAGGTTAGTAAGTGGTGGTTGGAATGTACACTCCAGTGCCCGAATATACAGTAAGCCAGCTGAGCCATGGCATGCCTGCCTAAAGTACAGGGCATTTTCTCTTTTATGTTTTGGGGTCATCTAACTGCTACTAACATTCTTAAAGCTGGATTCCAGGTATGGATATTTTTGCATAGTTACACTGGCCTAGCTTAGACCAATGTCGCTATGCATGTGCCATACCTGACTGATCTCCATGGAAGCTGGAAATCACTGTAGTAGACACTGCTTCTACAGTGATTGCTGCTAGCTTCATGGTCCCATGCACGGGCACCATTCAGAGAACATTTAGCGTTTTCTCAACCATACTTAGACCGTGCATATTATTAGCCATATAGATCTGTTTTAAAACTATATTATATGTGTGTGACAAGGACATCATGGTCATGATAATGATTGGAAATAAAAAAACTGACAAAAGTGTCAAGGATAAAAAAAAACTGGCTGCTCCTCTATCTATTCTACAAATTCAGAGTCAGGAATGATAGACTTGTGGCAGGTGAGATGGTTCAAAGTAATTGCATCCAATGGCTTATACTGCCATAAATATGCCATTTATATATTCTGAAGCCATAAGACCTTAGTGCAGCCAGAATAAAGAAGCTGAAGGAACAGATGTGAATACTGTGTTTTGGTAAAATAAATAATTATCATATTATACACAGTATTCATTTACTCAATACGTTACAGCAGTAAGAACATTTAACTATATAAATGTAAATTGTACATTATCTCCGCTACCTTCTGCTCATCAATGTATCTGCATTCAATAGCGTGGCGCACTATAACACATGTACAATTTTTCCTAAACTTGCTTCTATTACATAAAAACTAACTTCTGGTAGATATAGGATTACATGACATGTACTTTCATGACTCAACTTAATTACTAAAAAACACAGTCCACACAATAGTAGTAAAATTTTGAAGGCAAACATGACCCTCCCATTGACTGTCATGTACATTTTATTCTCCAGTGTTTCCGAAGTGTAGATCTGCGATACATCCCCATCAATCTATGCGATGTCTTTGTACCATTACCATCTGTACTATTACATTTTACCAAGTGGACCACCCAGCTACACTGTTACAACACTGCTTTAGCTATAGTAGATGTTACTGAGCAAGGTTATCCAGGAACTCTAACTACTGTATATTGACTGGTGTGTTGGTAAGAGCTCAAATGTTTAAGGCATTGAGTCTTAAAGCTGACCTATAGTCATACCATTAAAGTTATATTTATATTTCTGATGATAAGAAATGCTGTGGAATATACTTATTATAAGTGAATTCCAAACATTTATATCTGAAATCACTTGCAATTACCTCTATTGACAGCCTGTGCCAGGCAGTAATGGAATGTCTGTGGCAGTGGGTGCAGACTCCAGTACATCCCAATCTCATTACATTTACAGAGTATGTAGTGGTGTGGATTAGTGGATAGAACAGTTTCCTGACATCCTCAGCTAGGCCTGTGCCTATATTATCAGTCTGCAGCTGCGCAGCCTGGCAGCAGCAAACTTTCGAAAAAACATCACTAAAAGTAAAGTGATGAAAACATTTTTTAAAAACACACTAGTTTAGCTGTGTTACATTGTATTTTCTAGAAAGCTAGAGTTCAGCTGTAACTGTCAGGTCTGTGGGTACTCACAGCCACATGATCTGGCTTTTTTTGAACAAATTGGTCAACAATCTGATGTCTGAAGGGGTCCTTCCAGGCAGCCGCTTGCTTTCAGGGACAATGGTCAATTGATCGACTTAGAAACCTGATCAACCTTTCCCACTGATATGCTGCCTTTCTTCCGTTCCCTGCTACACCTCCCATCTTTGCTCAATAGAGTTTATCTGTAAGCTGAATCAAGCTGAGCTTGCAGGCATATGTGACTTGTTTTTTGCTCCAGCTGCCTCAGGATGTACAGACTACATCTGACTATCCTCTTCAATATATTGGCGGCCTTGGGTGTATATTGACAGCAGGAGGAGAGGCAAAGAATGTGGTCAGTTTGCAAAGTGTACCTGTTTGCCAGATTACCAGCTGTTTTTCCTTCAATTACTGCCATATAATCTCACTTGCTATTTTACCTATGTAAACAACTCATTGGTATGAAGTGGTCTTACTCTAGTTATATTTATACGTAGCTTAGAGGAAAGCTTGCCCTAAAATGATTGAAAAAGCAGCTCGAGAGTAGATCTGGCAGTTATCAAGTCTAGATCATACACTATTTAAAAATACATGCAGACATAAGCAAGCCAAATATACATGTTTATATCTTGTGTTGTGTAGGTTATTAACATTAATTCAAAAATATACACAGGCGTGAGCAAACAGATATACATTTTTATGTTAAGTGTTGTGAGGGTTAATAGTGTCTCTTTCATTAAATATCTCCCTAGTGTGTGCATATTAATAAAACTGTTAATATTGAGATTAAATTGGGAGTTTAACATTGCAAACATATAGTTTATAACAAAGAAGGGCCAATTTCAGAGTGGCTGTTTTTATATATTTTTCTTGAGAGCTGCAGTAGTTACAGTCTATTTATATACAGTAGTATTTGGGCGAGTATTTAAAGCAGGGCAGGAGATGTCAGCTATATACTCTTTCTCTACTCCCTTAGAATTCCTAAGAGGTGATAATGACTCTGACTACTATTTAGCCCCTGGTGTTCCTTAAAAATGTGTGAGTCTATTGTGTCAAATTCTTAGTGATACTACAAAATGTCTCAAATATGTGAGAACCGTATTCCTCCCAGCACCAATACTACTTTCTACTGCCTTTAAAACATTCCCACCAATAATTACAGTCAATTCAGCTAAAGAAAGCAGTATATATATATATATATATATATATATATATATACATACACACTTATTTCAAACACACACATATACATACATACATACAGCTGCTGTCTACTGTTTTGCTAATGTACCACAATCTTTATAACACTGTGGCTAGATCACTGGACAATAAGTGTAAAGGAAATCTAAGTCATTTTTGTTACTATTTAGACCACTTTCTATAATACGAAACTTACCTAAAGTAACACACGTCATAAAACCCTGGGTGACTTCATTTAAAGAGAGCCTGTCAGGCATTTTAAAACTTTGCCAGTAAAAGTCCTGCCCAAAAGTAGGAACTACTAGATGTCTGCCATTGATTTTATAAGGTATTTTTCCTTCATGGTTAGGTACACTTTGTTAATAAGTATACACTGACTTCCCAGAATTCTGCCCTATGAAGCCAAATGTGCAGCAGCAGTCTATCTATGCTCATGTTAAAAATTTTCATTACATTTTCTTTATTTTAGGAGTTATGTCAACCACTGCAGACAGATTTCAGAGAGCACCTCACAGGGTCATTTGATGTGTACTTCTGTTCTCTGTATAATCCCATTTCTATTTGAGCGGAGTGTACCTTTAAATGTTAAAATGCCTGGCAGGCCACTTTATGTAAATTGAGATGTGTTTATAGGCATATTTTCAAACTTTTTCAAATTTCTTTCATAATAATCTGTCATTAAGAGAAGCCTCTCTCTCAGAAGCATCTGATGGCATTCTATGATTTCTGGGCTACATACAAGTTCTCAGGTAGTCACTCACATTAAATCTAAACAGGCTCAGTTTCACTGCCCCGAGACAAACAATCAATCTGTAAGTCTTGAAATGGCAGATAACATCAGAAGCTTCAGAGACAGGTGTTTTTCTCCATGTCATATTCCTTTAGGTGCTTATACCAAAAGCATTATGGCTTGCTCTAAGTGCACCTGCATTTAGCAGTCCCCTATCACACAGTGCACCTTGCAAACTATTTTGGGCAATTAAATGCCAACTTGGGAGAGAAGTGAGAGTAGTGTGTAATTTACACTTAGAGCTGCATCCTTAATCCTGGCAAAACCTTTTGAAAGGCCAGGTCTGAGCTTTTTCAATATTGGAGAATAATGAACTTCCTGGACCCTGGAGATGTCCAACTGATTTGTTGTAGCAAGGAAATGAAAGTTCAGTACAAAGATACCATAAGTCACTCAGCCTGTAATTTTCAAGTGGCGGAAAAGCAGGCAGAAACCTTTAGCCAGAATTAACACACTAAACTCACTTTATTTTCTTGCCTATTCCCAGTTGATACCTTAGAGTGGTGTATTCTCTGCTCTCACAGTGTCAGGGTGTGTGGTGCACGTTTTAAAGATCAATAACTGATTAATTACCTCAAGTTCTTTCAAACTATAAAACTACAATACATTATAAAAGGATAATATTGCAGTCACTGTTTTATGTGATATAAATGCAAGGCAAATATATGAGGACTAAAATTAACAAAAGATTAAAAATTGGTAGCTGCTTACAAGATTTTTTTAAGAAATAAACTTATAAGCAGCATCCTAATTGAAATCTATTGCTACCATCTAAAACAAGATTTTTCCTTATCAAAACATATTACCACCTGTATCCATTTAACAGCTTTCATTTCCATATAAACCATGACTTAAAATCAGAGGCTTATATATCAAAACCACCTTAAGCACTTTGGTCTATTTGGAGAGCAGTTGACTGAGTAGGTGCTTCATAGGATTCTTCTAGTTCCTCAGGTGTTGGCTTATATTCAGTGCTAAATGGATTCTCGCTTTCAAAGTCCACTTCATTCTCATCTTCATCTTCAACAATAGCCAACTCTGTACTTTTCCTTATCACTTGTACTTCCTCAGTTTTGTCTTCTTTATCTGTGGCATCTTTAGTCACCTTCTCTTCTTCAAACACCTTTGCATCCTCTGTTGGAGAAGTGTTTTCATGTTCTGGACTGCCATTCTGCTCATTCACAGCTTGTTCTTCTACAGCTTCATTTTTTCCTTCAGACTCTGTATGTGTCTCCTCATCATGAGATTTCTTCACACTAAAGGCTATTGGAACTTTGAATGATGAGCCTTTTGAATTTTTATTATGGGATGGTGTAAAGGACTTTTTAATTTTTTCTCTTCTTTCTGGTGACACAATTTTAGTGCTAATCTTGCTCATTTTCTTTTCTATGTTTTGACGAGAAAAAGCTTTTTTCAGGCTATCTACTTTCTTTAGACTAGATCGCTTCATTTTCTCAGCTCTGGTGGGCTCTAACTTTTCATCTATACTATCGTCATGGCCATCCTCATCATGATTAATTTCGTCATCTGAAGATAGGTCAATTGTATGCATGGTCTCCTCCTGTAACTTGTTTGGGTCAGCAGATTCTTCAGTGCCTTCTGTAATGCTGGGAACTGGTGTTGGTTCTTTCACAAAGACGCTTGCAGGTATTTCATTTTCTTCCTAAACACAAAAAGGCATTGCATTACTAAAATTTAGATATTTTGCACGTGGAAACACAAATGACAAAGTAAATACTGAAATCACCTTAAAAATGGGCATAATATTAATGTTACACTAGTCATCAAAACAAGAAAAAGGCAGTCTTGCCTCTTCAAAATGTTTCCTTTTTTAAAATGTGATTTTTACTAATATCACCACATAATCAAATGAGACTTTTTAAATAAATTTTCATCATAATGAGATTTATGGGTAAAAGTGTCTTTCACAATGCTTACATTCAGAAATAACAGTTTACTTGTAAATTGGTTTATATATTTGTAAAATATGTTTTGAAGGAAACCTGTAGTAAGACATAAGATATATATATATTATATATATATATATATATATATATATATATATATATATACACACACACACCTAAAAAAATTAAAGGAACACGTTGAAAACACATCAGACCTCAATGGGGAAAAAAATATCATGCTGGATATCTATAATGATATGGAGTTGGTAATATGTTAGGAACGTAATGATGCCCCATCATTTGATGGAAATGAAAATTATCAACCTACAGAGGACTGAATTTAAAGGCACACTGAAAATCAAAGTGAAAAAATGATACAGCAGGCTAGTCTATTTTGCTGAAATTTCATTGCAGCAACTCAAAATGGAACTCAGTAGTTTGTATGGCCCCCATGTGCTTGTATGCATGGCTGACAACATTGGGGCATGCTCCTAATGAGATGACAGATGGTGTCCTGGGGTATTTCCTCTCAGATCTGGACCAGGGCATCAAGGAGCTCCTGGACAGTCTGAGGTGCAACCTGGCGGCATCAGATGGATTGAAGCATGATATCCCAGAGGTGTTCTATTAGAGTTAGGTCAGGCGAGCATGGGGGCCATTCAATGGTATCATTTCCTTCATCCTCCAGGAACTGCCTGCATACTCTCGCCACATGAGGCCGAGCATTGTCGTGCACCAGGAAGAACCCAGGATCCACTGCACCAGCGCAGGGTCTGACAATGGGTCCAAGGATTTCATCCCGATACCTAATGACAGTCAGGGTGCCATTGTCTAGCCTATAGAGGTCTGTGTGTCCCTCCATGGATATGCCTCCCCTGACCATCACTGACCCACTGCCAAAAACGGTCATACTGAACGATGTTACAGGCAGCATAACATTCTCCACAGCTTCTCCAGACCCTTTCACATCTGTCACATGCGCGCTCAGAATGAACCTACTCTCATCTGTGAAAAGTACAGGGCTCTGGCAGTGCCCATCCTGTTCCGCCTTGCACAAAAGAGCAGATACCGGTCCTACGGAATGGTTAAGGACCTTCTACGGCCCTGTCCAGCTCTCCTAGAGTAACTGCCTGTCTCCTGGAAACTCCTCCATGCTCTTGAGACTGCGCTGGGAGACACAGCAAACCTTCTAGCAAAGGCACATATTGATGTATCATCCTGGAGGAGTTGGACAGCATGTGCAACCTCTGTAGGGTCCAGGTATCGCCTCATGCTATTAATAGTGACACTGATATACTGTATATGTGTATATATATATATATATATATATATATATATATATATATACACACACACACCATTTTGAGTTGCTGCAATGAAATTTCAGCAAAATGGACTAGCCTGCTGCATAATTTTTTCCCTTTGATTGTTGGGGTGTCTTTGAATTCAGTCCTCAAACAATGGGGCATCCTTATGTTCCTAACACATTGCCCAGTCCATATCAGTATAGATATCCAGCATGATATTTTTCTCCATTGAGATCTGATATGTTTTCAAAGCGTTTCTTTAATTTTTTTGAGGTGTGTGTGTGTATAATATATATATATATATATATATATATATATATATATATATATATATATACATACACACACAATTTTACGTCTTACTACTGAAGTGTTCCTTTCATTTTTTTTTTAGCAGTGTATATATAGGCTTCCATTTCTAATCATCTACTGAAAATGCTAGTTGCATGGCTATCCCCTACTGCAATATATGATGCACTTGCCTAGAATAGGCATGCAGATCTGCATAGTCAAAGAAATTGATTTAATATGAATCATTAAATGAGGTGAAGCTCTGCTGACTTTCATCATCCAATCATGTTCAAGCAAAATCTGGTGCTGCTGTGCAGAGCAGCCAATTGGCTTCTAACTTCAGCTTGTTAAATTAAGCTTTGACAAAAAACTGGAAGCTGATTGGTTTCTTTGCAGAGTTGCACCAAGTTTTGCACTCTCCAGCTTTAGTAAATCAATGCCATAATGTTGTTTATTGTCCTTGCACATGATTGGGTATTATTTTTCTCTTGCAAAGGGAACAGTTAACTTACCTTAGTAAATCAACTGCAATGTCTTAGTAATTACTGAAGCCATTGGATCAGCATACAGGTAAGGGAACTTTTATTTTCACAAGAAGTCAACCTTAGCAGCCTGAAAACTTTCTTAGTACAAGTTTTCCTGTATCTCCTGCCATTTCAAGGTTATTCATAAATAATTACTGAATTCCTTACGACTGGTAGAAAAAGGTTTACCCTCCACATATAAAAAGGACTATTTACTGTAAGGGCTATTTAAAAGTGGGAACGTCTTCCATGGGAACTGGCTCTAGCTGACTCAGTGGAATACTTAAATAGGGCTGGGTGTTTTTCCAAATGTCCAAATTATATATGACTAAAAAATGTAAATGGCTACTAATACATACGGAAAATAACATTGTAGAATGTTGACCTGGGGAGTTATCTAGACACATTATATGATTTTCCAGAAGTTGTTCCCGCTGTTTAAAGCCCAAATAAAACTTTCAGTTTAAATTGAATACATTCAATCAACATCAACACAATAGGTGTTCAAAGTCTTACATTGTGTTTTTTTTAAAAAGTAGAAAAGCTGGTCCCCTGACAGAATTTTGCAGTGAAGGACCCGTGCTCTCTGTTTTGAAGCATTGGTTTTTCCACAAAGATATGATGCATTCCCTGCTCAGTCAGACCTATAGTGTTGCAATCAGCAAAGCTCATACCCTCTTCTGATTGGAAAGCTCTAGTTCTGACTTGACAGCGGGCATGCCAGATCTTAGCAGAAAGACCACTACTTCCACAAAGAGAGTAAGGGTCCTACTGTGTAGCTACAGTTGCTTTAAAACATGAAGGAAAACGTTAGATGTTTGGATTCTGCCCGAACTATGCTGAACTATCCACCAATGTCCACAACTAGCTTGGAGCAAAACAAAATATCTAATAAGTCAGCTCATCTGACATTCCAGAGAGAACAATTTTTTTCTATCTGATTTTCTATGTTCTATGTATATAGATAGCACATGTATATGGACCTTATGTGTATCTCTTGTTAAAAGAGAGCGGATGAAAGAATTCATGAATGGATCTTACAATGCTGGTGAGGTGCAAATGGATGTCTCCAAATGACAAATATAGCCAACCTCTGTATGACTGCTGAAGTAAAGGGCAGCTGTGGACAATACCTTTTTCTCACATATACTTCTGCAATGTAACATGTCAAGACTGACCTGAGGGTTGTGTCATACTTCCAATGTGCTGATTGTTGTCTTCCCAGGACCCTTGCTATTTCATGTACTAATAAAATCACCAACAATGCTACATGTACTAATCTCTTAATTTTTCTAGCTGATAGTAATTGGATAGTGGTATAAAAAACACAGCTAGCCTTATGTGTAAAAATGACACATTCCAAATGGCTTCTACAGTTCATCTAAACTAGGGAATTGTCTGTCTGAGGTTCTGAATGTTTTTACCCTTCATAAGCCAGGCCATTTTTTGCTATACTGCACTGTACTACTTTAACCTAAACTAAATTTATATCATTTTTTTCACACAAATAGAGCTTTCTTTTGGTGGTATTTGATCACCACTGGGTTTTTCATGAAAATGTTGAAAAAAATGTTTTTACTTTTTACCATAAAACATATCTAATAAAAAAAATTAATGCATGTCTTTGCTGCTACATGTCATTGATAAAAAAAATCCCAAGAAGTGTATATTGATTGTTGTACATGAAAGTTATAGTGCCTACAAACTATGGTATATATATTGGATTTTCTTTTCTTTAGACTAGTAATGGCAGCAATCAGCGACTTATAATGGGGCTGTGGGAGTGCGGAAGGCAATTTGACACTAACTGACACTGACTAACTGCCACTGCCATCACCAGTGACATTAATACAATGATTGGTGATAATACTATACACTGTCACTGTACCAATGACACTGGCTGGGAAGGGGTTAACATTTAGGGCAATCAGGAGTTAAATGTGTGCCTATGTGTAATGTGTGTAAAGTGTGCTGCTTTTACTAAGAGACCTGTCAGTTTCTCATCTCTGCTTTGCAGAAACTGACAGAATACTCCCTGTGTACAGAACTCAGTGTTGAACGTCAACACGGGGCTCTGAGCTGTGACAGTACACAGCTGATCAGCAGGTCCTGGAGATTAATCATTGGCTAGGACTTGCTAACAGGGTGGGGGAAGGTTGCATGCACGCGCCCGAAACTCAGAAGTAGGCAGTGACGTACCCATGCATTGCTCTGCCTACAGCGGTAGCCAGTCTGCTGTATAATGCGGGCGGGTGGTTGTACAGGGGTTAATGTTGATTGTTCTACTTTGATGTAGATGGTCTATTTCATGCCTCTTGGAAACAAGTTCTCTTACTGATACTCATTAGAAGTGAAGACGTGGTTTCAAGCTATGAAACGTCTTCAACATTACAGAACAAGTTTAGTTGAATGTGAGTTGTTACTAGATTTACCATGACTTACCATGACCTGAATAAATGAGAATCTTCACAGACATACTCCACCTATCACCTGAGGAATACGTTCCTCTATACCTAGGAGAAACTAAGTTTTTCTCTTTGGAAGAGTGGGCAAACACAGTGGTGTTCAAGTGAATGGAAGGTGAGTAATGTATAAACCAATCACACAGGGAGGGGACAATAAGATGCACCTGTT